TACATATGTAGCCTAATATAATTGTATAAACCGAGGAACAAGAGGAAGATGAATTCTGAAGGTGTCTGTCCAGAAAATCATGCCTCAGTAACCTAGCTGCCTTTTCTGTTGTTGTTGTTGTTAACAAAAGAACAGGGAGGGTTTCAATTTTTGAACACTGGAGGCCTATTGCAAGAAACTTCCAGAAAGAAGTAACATGAATGCTCTGTAAATCTCAGCTTTTCTCTAGAAAGAAAAGATTTTTTCAAAAAGAGGTGCTGTGGTTTCAGGCACATGCTCCTTCTGTACTTCTACACCACTGAGTCTTCAGTTTGAAGTCTCAGGTGAAGGTCTCAGTGAAGTGCATTATTAACAACATCTCTGACCTGGCAGCTTATGAATCCAACCAGCCCAGACTCCCTGGGCAGACTCAGGACTATCCAGCAGTAAACCTAGATATTTTGAGATGTTTTGCTTTGTTTGGATGCATCTAAAGGTTAAAAAAAAATAAGGGAGATAGTTCCAGGCTGCTTTATTGATCTCACAATAAGAACCAGCCAAGGAAGGCACTTTTTGTGATCCCATACTCTGATCTGCATGTGTAGCATCTTATTAAAGACAAAGTGAGAGTTCAGAAAGGAGCAGCTCCACCAGCAGTTTCTTTCTGCAAAACAGTCACTGACAAAGAACAGCAACAGAAAGAACAAATAAGTCTCTCTAGTATCTGTTTCAAAATTCAGTACTTACTGTGCACAGGTTATCATTGAAAGATAAGAACACTCAGCAGCTGGCAGCACATCCCTACCTCATCATCATTTCAGCTCTACAGGACAACAGGCAAGATGGAAATAAGCACCTCTGAAATAAAGGGTGTTGTTTCAAGTATATACAAAGCCTGTAATGGAAGAAAAGTAAGATAATATTTTGAAACAAATGAATGCTGAAGAAAGAAAAATCTCAAAACTGAAGCACCACCAGTTTGGAACTGCTGGAAATTCTCCTTAAATTTTAACACACTGCAAGTGCTAAGAAGGTCACAGGGAAAAAGCTGGTTCCTTTTCAGTTCCAGTGAGCCAGGCTATGAATAAATAATGCACTGAGCTTATGTACCCTATTATATATGCTGCAGGTAAAAGCTGCACTGTGCTGGGACTGAATGGAGAGGTAAAAGTGGTTTGAGGGGAGATGATGGACAGAATCCCAGAAAGATATGCAGTTTGGAAACAGGCCAGAGTTATCTTCCTAAGACAGTCCATCCTGACAAGCTTTAGGAGAAGCCACCAACACTCATACGGAAGACAAAAAGTGCCTACACAGAGAGGATAGGGATAACTGGATTGTCATGCAAAGAGAGTTACTGACAGGTTTCAGGAAACAATGTAAAATTTCAGCTTCCTAAGAATCACAGATTCCTAAGAAGTCCGTTCTAGTTGGTAGAATCATGTAATAGAGGATAAAATGGGTGCTAGGTTCACACTAAAAGCTTCATCTGATCACATACCTGTTAATTCTACAGAAGACTCTGATACTCCCCAAAACCTTTGGATGGAAGGGTAGTTTTAATAAGTAGCACAAGTTCACAGAAGTCCTCAGGAAGCCTCACACACTCTTAGTAGGGATTCAAACTGATTTGCTCTCCTGCCATATTTTCTATTTCACCCTGGCACTCTTCACAAAAGCAGACTTTACCTTTCCTTACAAGTATTTTTCTTTCAAAATACAAATCAACATTTCAAAACACTTGGAACAAGGATGCTTGCAGAGACAAGGCTGTAAATTTAACACCAGGTCTTGGCCCCAATTCACACCGAACATGTACTGACCTTTCCTGACTCTGTTTGAACCATGAGGACTCTTCACAAAGGTTCTCACACAACTGGGAAACAGCCAGCCAAAACCTGCCATCACCATCAATTAAGAGCAGTTGTCTGCAGCAGCTCAGCCCCAGATTTATGCTCCTTTAACAGGACAAATCCTGTCCTCAGGGTAATCAGAGTTCTAAGAAACAGAGCCGTGCATTTCCCATAGCAACAGGCAGACTGAACCTGAAAGAGGACAGACAGTAATTCAAATATTCCAAATTCAGAATTATCTCTCAGGAACTAGCAAGAGATACCCTTAATAAAAAGTTATTCAAGGTATTTAAGTGGACTAAAATTAATTAAGCTGGGTTTGTTGCTAATGATCAGTGAATTCTGTAAATTCCACTCTGCCCCAGGAACATCAGCTTTCCTGCAATTACTGTTCCCTGCTGGAGGCTGCCTTCAGAATCTTTTAGATCACACTGAACTTCCTCATTTGCTATTTCATTTCTTCATAGATCTAGATCCTGCTTTTAGGAGTCCAGATATTGAAGCTACCAACAGAAAGATTGTGGGTGGTACTGAAACATAGAGCATGTTAGACTATTATATTGCTTTCAAAAGATGGATTCTCTTACCAGGTACAGCACATGCTTTTCCACAAATTCTACCTGACAGGTTTGGTCATCATATTGACCTCATTACTGAAACCTAAAAACTCCAAAAGACAAATACCAACTTGATTTTATTTCTGAATGACAGTCAATGAACAGCACGGGATGCACCGTGTTCAGGAGATCCTGCAACACACAGGATCTTCAAGAGAGGAAAATCTGAAAGATGATGAACCAAGATCTCCCCCATGGTCTAACCTGAGCTTGTTGAGCAGTAGCTTATAGAGGGCAGCTCTCGAAGTGCCACTGTCATTTAGCACAACTCAAAGCCTGCACAACAGGCTACAAAGGCTACCAAGAAGATGGAGACTCCCTATTTACATTGAATCACATGGAGAAAACACGGGGTCATGGGCACAAGTTGCTCCTGGGGAGATTCCCATTGGACTCAAGACATAAAATTTTCACCCTCAGGACAAACATTGGAATAGTCTCCCAAGGGAAGTGGTGGATTCCCCCACATTAGACAGGTTTAAGTCTCAGCTTGACAGGGTGCTGAGACACCTCATATAAACTGTAGTGGTACCTAGAAAGGTTGGATCAGATGATCCTTGAGGTCCCTTCCAACCTGGCATTCTAGGATTCTGTGACAGACAGAAATAACTAACAAACTTTAAAAAAGTGGTAAAGCAATTTATATGACAAGTGTTGCAGAACAGTCATAGGAGCTAGTGTAGTTAAGAATTTTGGAACATAAGACCTCAGCACGGAGAATCCCAAATCAAATCCACTCCAGTCCATTCATATTTACTCCACTGCTATCAAGTATTTTTGTGCAGAAGGTCCTACACTTGTATCTCAAGGTAACATTAGGAATCAAATTTTAAGCCAGTAAAGCTGCTGAGCTTGGTCTCCCTTCATGTGGACTTAACTATTTGGGTGTAATACAAAAAGGCTTTGAGACAAGTATTTCTATATGGAACCCAAATTACTTTTATTGCCTAATATCCAGCCATTTTAACAATTCTTCATTGCTAGCATGGACAGGGAAGCCTTTTTTAGGCTTGAGAACAAAGAAATGAAATGACAAAAGACTGTTCTTGCTTGTGAGCCAAATGAGAACACTCACTATAGAACAAATCCGAGTGTCCTGTCATCATTGCTCTTTGTACTGATCTTCAGTCTAATACTGATTTCCATAAAAGGGGAAATTAAAACAGAAGTGAAAGCTGTATGCATAAAATATAATAATAATAAAAAAATCAAAGCACATTTCCAGATTTTCAATGTTTCACAGAAATTAGACTATTAATAAAACAAATCAACATGTTTGCTTCTGATTTTGATTGAGAAAAACACAGGGTTTCCTACCTTGTACTTATCAATGCACTGACCTACAAAAATCTTTTGACTGTAGTCAGAAAGCAAAAGTACTTGGCAAGATAATATGTTTGTTACTTTATCTGTGCTGCAATGCAATCATCCCCTCTTCTCTGAAGTCCCTGCAATTTGCTATTCAAGGAACATCCCAACCTAATGGTCCTAGTTAATAGAAAAAAAGTCTTCATACTAACCTGAAAAAGACAAGTCCAAAAGAGCTAGTGAGAAGCTTTCTGAAACAAAACATTGCTTTGGACAAGATAAAACACAGCATTTTCTTCAACATGGTCTTCAGATTACATTGAAAACATGTATTTACTGGACCTGGAAGTGTTTTATTAATTATCAAGCTCCAGCTCATACTGTATCAATTTAAAAGGTGGGTGGACACCAGTTTCCCTCCCACCCCACACACCATAGTCTGATCACCCCTGCCCAGCTCTCCTTTCTAATAATTACTTAATGAGCAGGGTGAGATGGCCAAGCCATCTCCATGAAAAGACCTTAATAACCTCAAGATTGGGCATCCAACAGGCAGACTGATCATTTTCATTATGATTCAGAGCAAAATAAGGTGAGCTGGGAATGCTGCATTCTGATCAGAGGGATCTAATGCCATGACATTCTCTAGCACACCAAAGCATTTGTAATCCAAAAGCAGCAGGTTTTCTGGCTGACCAGATAACTACTGCTGACACTGTACTAACTAATTCCACCTTGTAGCAAAAAATATCTGTAGTAATTCAATTAAAAAGTTCAAGTAAGTCCCAGTAAACAAACCACAGGTGTATTGCCTACTAATGCCCATGCTGAGGATACATTCCTCTCAACAGAAGGTATTTTCAGAAAGGTAACACTCATCTTGTTCTGCTACCTTAGGTCAAGTTTTCTGCACCACATTGATAACTGAAGAGACCAAGTAATTAAACAACAGGTACCACAGCAGCACGGGGACTTGTGGTGCAAAAGACTGTCTTTTTTAAACTGGGGATTTTAATAATAAAAAATATAAAGCCCACTCCAGGATTCTTCTTTGTAGCCTACTTCTTTAGGACACGTTGAGAATACAGTAAATTTAAGGTGGTCTTTAAGGCACTGTTTGCACCATTTATAGAAAAGGACATGTGAAAACAAAATGTATTACAACATATTCATACAACTGGGAAGTCCTAATTAATGTGAGGTTCCAGGAGCTGTTCTCTCCCTCTTTCCTCTCCTCTTGCAGGGCTTCTCTCATTCCGTTTGACCTCGTGTGCCATCCTTGGAGGAATTACACCAAGACTGGATCCCCAATGCCATGGTCTGGGTTGCAGGTGAAGGAGATGGTGATGGCGAAGCGGGTGCCCCAGTGCACCTTCTCCACCCGATGAAGGTTCTCTGACCCAGAGGTGAAAAAGGAAACCCGGCCTGCAAAGACAAAGGATTCCATCAGTGCCATGGAGTCTGCTATCAGCTCTCCACTCAGTTTTGCTCTTGTCTCAGTCCAGCTGTTCCCTAGCTACCTGACAATCCCCAGGTCACTACACAGACAAACTGTTATGAGCTTATGCTGCACTCTGACAGCTTTATGTACTGTTTAAAATGGACGTTGATCCTCTGTGCTGCAGAGCTGGAGACATCATGCCATCATAGCTCATTGTTTATAAAAGGCAGGAGGAGGCCAAGATCATCTGAAGCCAATTCTTAGTTGCCTCAAAAAAAAAAAAAGTGCAAGCAACTCTAGTGACTGTCAAAGTGTATTGATTTCCTCCCTTCTTCCCTTCTAGTCTGGGCTCTAATTTTAGACCAAAGAAGGAGGAAGTACTAAAAGGTGACACAAAGCCTTCAGTGACAAGATGCTCAGCAGGTTTACAAGCTGCTGTGGCAGTTTATCACCTTTGTACCAAGTATTTGCTCTAGCTTTTCTTGCACAGTCTGTTCACTCACTGCTCAGCCAGGTTAGAAAGTTATCTATCAGGCACATATAAATTCATTTTCCTTAGAAAGTCACTCCCATCAATGCACTGCCTTAGAAATTGCTTTTTAGATGCAGCTGCTTGCTCCTGTGCTTCACCCTGTCCCAGCATTGACCACCACCCTGCCCTGGGGCTCTCCAGGCCTGAAGTGGCACCAAGATGAAAGGCAGTTACTTTGATGACAGCAGCAGAGGCTGTGTTAGCATCACACTTGATGAACAAGCAGAATGAAGCCCTCTGCTCTTCCATGTTATTAGTGTTCTGCAAACACAAGAGCTTGATGTTTAACAAGTAATTCAGAACTGACACAACTCTGCAGGACTTCTCCTGTTCTCCTGAGAAGGCTGGTGACACTCATGCACAGCTTTTCATTCCAATAGCACGTGGGTTTCCCATTCTGGTCTTTTTCCACTGTTCAAATTAGATTTAAGTTTGTTATCACAGGGAACTCATATTGACAATCTAACTCTGCCTGGGACTCATTCACAATCAGGCAAAATGAAACACAGACCTACTTAAAATTTACACAAGATCAACTATTCCAATGATCTCCACTGCAGAAGTGGATACCAGACAAAGCTGGTTTTCTAACAAGTGACCCAAAAGATCCAGAAGTTATTTTGCTTGCATATTCCTAAGCAGCACACATGGGAGATTTGAACAAAACTAGATTGTTCCCATGGAGCTCAGTTTACCCACTCAACTCTGAAGCCTTTTTGAGCCTTGCCCATTTAGCTGCAGTTCACATTTAATCTTTCACAGCCCACAGTCTCCTAACTGCCAAGCAGAAGTCACATCACACTGATCTCTGCCTGTGGCTGCACAACAATAATTGGAGAAGCTATAGATACATATAAAATAGTTTAATTTGTATGCACAGCTCATTTACACTTTGGTGTCCTGCTTTTCTGGATGAAAGACTAAATGAAAGTAAAGCAATTCCTGTGAGCCTTGCAATGAACAGCACTACTCAAGGATTTCATACAAAGTCCCTGTGGCATGATTTTTTTTCTTTTAAGTCTCATTTCAACATAATTCAAGTACTTCATTATCAGTACCTCACCCAAAGCTTTGCCTTAAACTGATTTTCAAGTTTTTTTGTTTGGTCTCTTACTAGAAGTACTAGCAATTCAGTTAAGTTTCAGTGTATTGCTTAAGCCAGTTAAATTGGATTTTTTGGCTATACAGAATGTCTTCTAACTTAATAAATATGTCTTCATATATATGGTATCTTGTACCACGTTGTGCATCTGGTCCCATATCTGTCAACTGGACTTTCCAAGTCACTGAACAAGCCTGAAGTCAGTTTTTAAAGATAGTGTAAAAGAAATTATTCCTAGAGAGGAAAAACTAACTTCCACTGCAAAATTTTGAAGAAAAAGCACACTCCCTACAGAGTACACTATTCTTAATAGTATAAATATTGAAAAAAGGGGAAAGCATGTTAATTCCAGTCCCATCTGACAAAACTTTCAAGGAATATATGGCAATATCATTATCCAGAAAGTCCTGGAGGATGAGAAGCTAAAATAAAGCTGTACCATTACTAGAGGGAAGACTTCTAGGACTTTTAAGCACACTGAGACTGGTCCCTTCATAATCTTGCTTCAATACACAGTATATGGAAACCACTTCAAAAATTAAACCACTAGAAGCAAGGAAGTAGGTCAGGACCAAGCAAGTATCTTGAAAGAGCATGGACCTACTCCTAGGCATAATCTGTTCCTGTTGTAGCTGTTGTTGAATCGTTTTTGAAGATTTTAAACACTAAAGTTCCATAGTATGAACCAAGTTAGTAGGACCACACAGAATATGGGTCTGGCTTTAGCTGTGAGGTTGCGTTCTAAGTGTTTTAAAGTGCACTTTAAGTGTCAAACACAATGAGTGCAGCTGTGACAGGACCTCTCTCCTTGTGCATGGAGAGGAAGACATGCACAGGGCAGTTCCACTGAGCCCTCCAGACTATAAAATACTGATAGAGTGAATGCTGAGCTTTACAGAGATTAGTGTTGTACTACAAATGCTGAGTGGCTGTGCAGCCATTCATTGCAGATACAAGTATATATGAGCTTACAGTTTCCTGATGAAACTGTTTTGAATGACAAAAGCTCAGGAGAAAGTGTGTAAAATTAATTTCCTTTGTCCTTTTCTTTCATTATTTAATAACAGCCTCAAATCACTCTTTCAGTTTTCTTCTCCCCTCCTCTGACCTGCCTGCAGATTTCTTTCAAATATACTCTTCTGCTTGAGTAAAGAAATCTTGACTACTTCCTCCTGGCACATCATTTCAGTTTGATTTATCAAGACTTACTGTTAAGTGTAAGCTTTGAGATCACAGCTACTACTCAATGCCATTTGATAGTATATTACCTAACAAAAAAAGAGAGTTCTTAATCCCTGGTCCCTTAAGACATGAACTTTTGGTGAGGAAGAAACAGCAAAAGGATCATCTTCTGTCTTTGAGGTGCACACTTCTAAGCTTTCAGAAGGAGGTCAGACTCTGAGCTGTGTTCTGAAGGATGAAGATTGGAATGGAGGTGTTGTGGGGTTAGAAGTGATGCCAGGGGCAAACCCCAGAATATTTGGCTTTTTCCACTCAGATAGATTTGTCATCTGAAAAATATTTCATCCCAATTGTGAACATTTGACTCATTTTCCCCAATCACTGCAAGATGCAAAAAACTCCATTGCTTCTTTAGCTTCATGATGCTTTTTGACTAGTACTTCAACCTGAGGAAAAAGTTTCAGATCTGTAATTCACAAGGAACCATGGGCTGCCCTCTCACATCTACTACCTATCATCTCCTCCTCACCTCCACTTCCCATTCCATGGGAAGTTCATCAGGCAGAGCAAACCACAGCAAGCAGCGCAGCACAGCAGAGCAGTTAGTGCTGTTAACACTTGGACATCCAGCCCCCCAGTTAGATAAAAATACATTTTGTAGGCACTTCTAGCCATGCTCTTCTATCTTTTTTGCCCCCCAAACCACTAAATATTTTTTTATAGCTCTTCCAAGATTTCCACCAGGCTATCTAGTAAGAGGGGAGTGAAACATACTCCAGCCTAGTTCCTATGGAAGAGAGCAACCATGGATTAGAGGTTCCTCCCACTTGTTCTTACCTTTCTTATTAGAAGAGGAAAAAACAAAATAATTTGAAAGATTTGTGGTAACCTCAAGACCTACAAGAGCCTGTTTCTATGCTTGCCCTGCATATCTCTACAGGCATAGAAGCAATTAATCCTTGCCTTTGATCTCTATTTGACAACAATACCTGGATCTATGGCTTTTTTTCTCTTCCTTTCCATGTTTTCTCTGCTTTCCACCATGAAGTGCTAGTCGGTGCATTTCAAGGTGGGCGTTTGGTCCAAGAAAAGCTTAGCTGAGGAGCTTCTGTTCCTTGCAGACTGCAGGTGTCGTTGTCCTGCAATTGCTCCCTTTCTAGTTCAGACACACCTTCAGCTCTGCTTCCGCACTAAGATCAGTTGAGAGGCTTCATCCATAGGTGGAGCTGCTTCTCAGTGCCTCTTTCTGCAGCCCTTAGGCAGCCACACAAGTTCTAAAAACTTAAAAGAGTAAGCAGAGTATTGAGGATGGAAGAACTAATGCCATGGAAAACAGATGCAAACTCATGTGAGGACACCACCCTCTCACTGACTGAGGGCGAGGAGCTGCCAACAGGCTCAGCTCTGCAGCAGCCATCAACACTGAGCCTGGCCCCTGCTGTCACTGGCACCAGGCAGGCTCTTCAGTGCTGTCAGGCTGAGAAAAGCTCGTGAAGTGAAAAACAGGAAAGGTCTTGCTCCTCTTACAGGGAGCAAGTATTAGAGGTAGCCACTTACTCTCCTGATTTTTTGAGAACCAATTTTTGCACTGATCTGCAGGAATTGTTATTTATGAAGGCATAAAGGGCCAGTCACCAGCTCCACTGCTAGGAATTGTATGTGATCCTAATTTAGATGAAGCAACACTTATTTTTAGGAAGAATACTTACAGCAGCAAAAGCAATGGGTATTTCACTAGGCAGCAATTACATCCCATTTAATTACTCAAAACCACTGGAGGAACACATGTATTAACTCTGAGCTTTTGCTTTTCCCCACTTTCACTTCCCTGGGTTTTAATCACATTCATAATTGCCCCTTAGCAATGAATTCTTTCTAGATGTACTCACAAAACATGACCACTGTGAGAAGCAGCACACAGGTGAGGAAGAATTGTGCATTCAGCTGCATATCACAGTAAAAACATCTATAACCCCATAAGGTTTGCTCTCAGAAAATTTTATCCATGTGGAATTTTAACATTCAGTTGCACAAGGAATATACAAAGGAAACAATTTGCCCTTCATATTTAACTGACTTCAGCCAAACCTCTTACTCCCATTTGTTTCTTGTCTCTAAAATGAAGCAGTGCTGACCTATTCTAACAGGGTCCCTGTGAAAGTTAATTAGTAAACACTGTTTCAATACTTCAGTTAACACATGTTCTGTTTTACAAGTATTAAAAATACCCTCTGTTGTTCCTACTCTGGCTAGAGAAAAAGTAGCAAGGCATGCCAGATGAAATTAAAACAAG